GCTATACTTTAATGAATTAGTGACATACACGTAGGCCTGTGTGTGGCATACATTTTTGATATGCATGTGCTAAAGTAAACATATTACACATGTAGATGTAGAATGGAAGGTAGAGAGGAAAGAATGTAGGATAGGGTCATACAGGAGCAAAGATGAGAAAGACATAGAGATAGTAAAGCTATAAAGAGAGTAAAGAGTTTGTATGAGAATAGACTATATTCAGGGAGATTGCTGAAGATAATGTATAGGGCATCTTAAGAGGGGAAAGAGAGATCAAATAAGACTATGCATGTAGACAAAGACATTGCGCACTAAGGGAAAGAAATGAAATGTTGCCAAAGTGGTATGCACAGGGTTTCCCACAGGTTTTTTGGTATAGTGCTTAGCATTTTATTAGTGAGTTTTTAAAACTGCTCTATCTACAGTTTGACAAAACATCCTGTACAAAAATTGCTAGAGGTGAATTTTCCTTTTAAATATTTTTGTCTGATACATATACATATTTTATGTTGTGTAGAAAGTTTGAGCTGATTCCAATTAAAATTGGACTTTTAATGAATACATAAAGTTGCTCAAAATTTGGACAAATACACAGTCTTTGACCTAGTTTCATCAAAAATGGCTAAGAGAGAATTCATCAGTTTTATAATTTCTTCTAATGCATATAGATGTTTTTTAGTTTGCATAAAAAGTTTAAGCTAATTCTGATTAGAATTAGCCGGGTTTTTTTAACAAATTTTTACAGTTGCTCCAAATCCCATATACATGTACAAATGTCTGTACACGTACATACATGTGCTTTTCAACTCATGAAGAATGCTGTTTAGCTCACTTAGCATGCTTAGTGGGAAACCCTGCATGGGTAGGTACTATATGAAGGGTTAGAGAAATAAAGAAAGAGAGCTCAGTGTTAAAATGTTAATGAGAGATAAATGCTCCAAAGGGCATCGGATAATAGACAATAATAGTAATAGTAATAAGGCATAATAACAGTAACAGTAATACACAAATGTGACAAGCACTTACAGTGATCCATAATACTAAAGGTTCTTGAATAATATATATCGCTTAAAGGTGACACAGTAACAATAATAGTATTAATAGATTTACCTAATTTTACATTTCCATATAATGGTCATGTATAGTTTGAATGAAACAGTTAACATCTTTCAAATTATCATTCAGCAATTATTTTCATAAATTTAATATCACTTAAACTGTTACAAACTGTTCTTAAATCTGAGAAACTATATTGCGATGGTTGCTTAAATGAAATGCCTTCTGGAAGACCAGTGACATGACATCCAAGTTCATTTAACTTGCCATAAGGAATACGTCCTTTACCAGTAGCCTCCACTAAAAGCATTCAAATAACATAATATGCCAATATGTAACAATTTACTGTATTTATTCCTGAATGACAGGCGTACTTTCTTGAGGATGTCATCAAAAGACTTTTTCTTTTTTAAGTTTAAACGATATTCCATTCCTAATGTATAATATTGAAATGACAAAGTGTGTGTATGTGCATTGCTTACCACACATATACTTGAAAAACTTGTCCTCAATTTGTTCCAGTTCTAAAAAATTGTCAATTTTATCAGAAGATGTCATTAACTGTGACTCAGATGATTCTAAATTAAGGACAGATGCATAGCCTTCTACTCCAAGTTTAGAGAGATTTAAAAGCTGAAGTACAAAAGATAGACACAGTAAAACAAAAAATCCATGTACATTACTACGCAAAGATGAGACTAAGTCATTGATGGCCTTCCTTTTAGTACAAGACTGTGTTATTTCTCGTCCTTTATCTGACCAATCCTTTTTCTCTGACTCAGGCAGTTGTTGCCACATTTGTGAAAGTTGAGGCATAGAAGCTAAAATATTACAAATATAAACACTGTTTACAACACTATTATACCGGCCACTTACGGGTAGACGATGATAGTGACTTTTCATGACAAAAAGTCTGAAACCCTGATCGTTTTCTAAAGCCACGAGTTACTACAATACTTGGTACCTACATGTATAGAAAAAACAATGGCTACATACTGTATTGTCTATTAGCACATATGATCAATAAAACAAAACTCTTATAACTTAGTATTGTAGACTCTTGGTATTGTGTATATGTACACGTACATGTATGTTATACTAACATTAGAAATATCAGGAGATGATTTCTTTTTACAACGTCGTTGCTCAGCATTTATCCAGTTCTATGAAAACATAAATAATTGTAATGGTAAAAACTAACATGTACTTTAAATGACAACAGTGTATTAAACTTCAGTAAATATAGTGAGTATACTACATGTATACCAAGTACATAACTATTTACTAATCCGTGAACAAAAATATTTTGTACAATTACATGTAAATAGGAGTCTAGTAAGTATATATTAATAATGTATGCCATCAATGTATATTAGAAATTACAAGTAATGTACATAGTATCAAGAGTACATATATAGTTACGTACACTACGGTATTTACATTAGTAGCATAAATGGGATTAACGTCAACATGTAACAGACTATTACTATGTATACTTATCATCTAAAAGCCTTCATATTAACATCAACTAGTAACTATTAAATGTATACAAGCTGACATGTCAAATTGCTAATACCAATACATAATGGTACATGTTAGGTACAAGTAACAATGACAGTACACTACAGTACAGGTACATGTACATTGTATTGATTGAATGAAGTACATGTACCTGTACATTAATAACTAATGCCTATACATGTACATGTATTTATCATAGATGTGAGTACATGTACAATCAACTTATTGATACTATATACTTGTACAATGTGCACTACATACTGTAATCCATACCTGCAACATTTATACTATACAGTGAAACCTATCTATAGCAGTCACCTCTGGGACCGAAACTAATGGTTGTGTTACATGTACACTGTACATGTAGAGGTGACTTTTCTAAATTGCACAGGGAACAGTAGTCAGTAGACTGGGACTTTATAGGTTGCTGTTATAGATAGGGTGACCTTTTTATACAGTGACCTTGTATTAGCATTTACATGTATCTAGTATTGATACCCTGCTATATTAATTTATAGTGATTAACTCAGTAGTCAAGGCATTGGTTAATAATCACCCATGTGTTTGAAAACTTAAAGTAAAATGTAGTACTGTCACCTGACAAAAAAGAGACGTTTGACAGGTACAAGTAAGTATACTCGCCTAGTGTAAACATAGTATTGGTCACTGAGATTAACAAAAAATGACTATCCTTGCAATACCAGCATTGGCACAATGGCAGATATTAACTTTCATTGGTATTATAGTGTTTTTCTATACTCACTAAAACAGCTACTGCATGTGTAATCATGTAGTAACAACAATCATTGTGTAACGTTACCTGCTAGCTAAATTAAGCTAACTATGACTCGATTCATTCAACTTAGTACTTTTCTTTACTATATTTAAACAAGATAATTATTATTTTGTTTTAAAGCATAAACACATTTAAGGAATGAACTTGAGATAATGTTGCTTCGTTCTCACATTTAATCTCACATTTCATAATATGCATTTTAATATTCATACCACTCATGTATACCATTATTTAAACAGTGATCATATACTGTACATGTACCACTTTAGAGCCATAGTACTGTAAGTACAGTTTGTATGTATACATAATAATTACGCATGACTATTCTAAGCCTTTGTGTAATACCTTTACTTTCTTTACAGGACACTGGAGTTCCTGAGATATAGCTTCAATTTCATTCATTCGTCCTTTGCCACAAGAGTTGACTCCTTTTTCATAAAAGTAGGCCTTCAGCACAGTCTGCTGCTGTTCCGTATAAAAACGCGCCATTTTGTAGCATTTACTAGCTAGCCTAGTATATATAGTGGGGAAGTTTTGTGGGTAACTATGGTTACATTTCTCCTATTAACTGTATTGCTACCTCATGAAGCACTCACGAGCAGTTGTACAACTATATTTCACGAATATTTCAATAGGTCTCACAATATTATTATGACGTTATTATGCGTGCGCATTGGGTGTAAAATTTCAAGAATGGGTGTGACTATCATTATTAATTAAAGTTTGATAATTGCACCAACACGTCGAATTAGAGCATTCTTTACTGCATCACCAGCAGGAGCAAACCAGACTTGTACACAGGCAGAGACCATACTCACCATACACTAATGAAATAGTTAGATGATTTTTAGAAGATTTTTTTACGCATTTTTGTCATAATAACTAATTAAAATGTAAGACCACGCCCACTATGAATAATTAATTAGGTGGCCAAAATTTTTCGGCGCGCTTCGCGCGCCAATTGGCCCACCCTTCTCTACAGTCCTGGCTACGCCTATGCTGTAGTAATATCATTGACAGTAAGTTTGCAGTATTATTCATGTAGATATGTGTATCCTATATCCTGCTAATACTTTCAATATGATCAAATTAAGCCATCTATGCCTTTTTTCATATTATATTTTCACCGTGCTGTAAAATTTATTATTTTTGGACTCGCCACGCTTGCGTAGGCGGGTACTAAGCAGTTGGGTTGTCATTCTGTCTGTCTGTCATTCTGTCACGAAAATTCCTGTTAATTCCTAGTCAATATCTTTTTTACTGAGCTCTCCTGAGTTATAATTTTTTTAAGCTTTGAGAAAAAGATAATTTATTTAGCTCCGTTGTATTTTCATAGCAATCCGTGGTAGCAAAAGCTGAATATTTTCAAGAATAGACCACTTTTCCTAGCCAAATCTTCGTGTTTCACTCTATTTGGTCAAGATTAGCATTGATAGGTAGAGAAAAGTACCTAGATTAAAAAATATGTGGGGATTTTCTAATCTCTTTTTTGTTTGCGAGTTACAGTTGCTCAAAGTTTGTGATTTAGCCTCTTCGAAAAATTTTCAGGCAGCACTGGGGAAAGCAAGAGCAACCAAACTATCTCAGTCTCTTTTAAATATCTAGGCAAATTTTGTGTGCTTACTCTTTCTTTGAATAGAGCTTCAGATGCTAAAATAAATTTCAGCTTTTCTTCTTTCTCCTACCCACGTGCCATGTTTATCTGCACTGCACTGCTAGGTGCTGACCACACCTATATTTTATTTTATGGATCAGTGCAGTAATTGCATTGTTGCACTTTGTCAAAATCTATTATCCTTTTTTTAAATATCAAGTTGCTTATATATATAATATCATGATGGGGGCAATACAAGTAACACATTATCCCTCAGGTGAATCTCAGCGGGCGAGTCCACGCACCATGGTGCTTCATTATTCATTTAAGAAAATTAATTATTGATATTAAATGAGTTTTCACTAGTTTAGTTTAACTTCCTTTGTTCCACAAAAGATTTGTTCCCCCTCCTGGTTGTAAACAGTGACTTTAAAGTTATACTGTCCCTATAAAACAGAATTTTGTATGCACTATACTAAAAGTATATACTCACAGGCCACAAAAGGTGTGAAGGTGTATCACTGTACCGATAGTTATATATTCCAGGCTGTATTGGGCAGTATTCCTTGATATATTGTACGCACAAATCACAGAAATTAAATTTTTCATCAACAAAAGTAATATTAGTAAAATTCTTGAAACTTGTTTTCAATGTGAGATGCAAAATGGCCCATTTTATTGTTTTCTCTAAAACATTATTATTAGGTATGATTTAGTTGTTAGCTTACTTATGTGTATTTTTGCTTTCCAATGAAACCTTCTCCCACGAATTAGGGGATATGGAGTCAATGATGCATTAGTGAGTTCAGCAAATTTCTTAGTCACAGCTTAAAATTAATAAAATAATCAATAGTGTGTTACTGAACTTACAACAATCTGTGAATTTAATTGGTTCCTCTTTTTGTCAATAGTGTATATATATATATAATTCAAAAACAGTAGTTATCGATTAGTATAATAGTCAGTATCTTACCATTGTAGTAATTGTTAGCAGATCCAGTCAATGTAGATATTACTAGTACAACTGATAGAAGTAACAGTATATACTCTACTAGTCTACCCATCTTCTTTTTGATTTGATTTATGATATTTCTAGAGACAGGCATGGATATTTATGCTACATGTACATGCTATCACAACTTGCTTGATTTGTTATATTTTGATTTTTATCTAAAATACTTTCAGTTTATTGACAGTTCATGAATTATTATGCCTTACACATTCATTTCCTTTTATTAAAACTAATATTTATACTATAAAACTTACTTATGTACAACTATCAAAAGATAAGTGTATTTGTTATTGCTACAAATGCAACATGTTGGTTTATATTGATTACAGCTGCTTTTGCTTTTAGTATGGCTAGTAGTGGCTATGTTTTACCCACTCAAATATAACAAATGTAGTACATGCACTTAGTCATACAGTGCCATGCACACCCAGTCTCAATCATTAATGTTTGATTTACTTCTTACTATAATGTGATAATGTTGTTGTGTACTATAGTTCTAATGACAGCATGTTCTCATTGTAGGTTAAGAAAAGGAAATTTTTGTGCCGGGCTGAGCTTAATAAAATTAAGTTAAGGAAAAAGGAGAGAGGAAAAAAGCAGCAAAACCTACAGAAGCTAATCAACAAAATATTTGAAAGGTAACAGTTTTAAGCTATTTTATTTTACATGTACTTATTGATTTTTTGTATATACATATGCAGTTTTATGTGGCATGCATAGCTCAATACTGCTGTACACTAAACTTGATGATGAAATGTATTATGGTTACTTATCTGCTCTTATTAAATCTTTGAAAGCCAATGGATATAGATCCACTATCTAAAATTGATTGCTAAGTTTTAAGTCGTTGAGTTATTTTGCTAGCAACAGGATCTTATGTTGCTTTAGATCTGGTTAACAGGTTAATTTTTTAAATTATAAATAGAAAAGGCATGTTATGTTGACAAAAATTAACATTTCTCAGAGAAACTAGAAACAGTATAATTTATGTTCATCATTATTCAATAGAAAACGTCTTGTTACATGAATACAAATACAATTAAATTTATGGCCACTGTCTAGACTATAGATAGATGGATAGTATTATAATTGTTATATTATAATAGGTTCATTTAAATTAAACTAATGTATAGTCTACATTCTATTTATGCCATAGTGGTTAAGTTAATTTGAAGTTTCTAACACTACACTAGAATAATGAGTTAAGCTAAAGAAAATCGCAAACTGTTTTGACTTCCTTTTTTGTGAGACGATACATGGCTGTTGCTTGAATTTCAGCTCCAGAAAAGTCGATTGTGACATCAATTTCGCGATCACGCCAAGGTAGTTTTTTTGGATTTGGAGCTTCAATGATGAGTCGGCCAACTAATTTGGCAATTGGTCTCCCATCAAGTGTTTTGACATATTTTACGTCATTTTTCTCAGATGAGTAAATTTCAAGTATAACTTCTTCTGACCCATCTGATGGATGGAGAGATGTTGTAATCTTTTTCTTGCTGTCGACTAGTTCCCCCTTCTTTAAGAAAATGTCAAATATGTTTTCGCAATAAAACTGGTCATCAGAAGCATGCTTTATTTTGTAGGCAGGATTATGTTTCGTTGCATCAAATGGTTCCCTAATAGCAATTCCATAATTGGCATCTGCTCGTCGAGCTCTTATAAAAGCTGGATTTTTTCTGAGCATTACAGCCCCATGTGCTATAGCAATAGTAGGATGCGGTGGTACAATAACTTCAATTTTCAAGGATTTTCTGACTAATTCTTTTTTGACGTGTTTCTCAACGATCTTTGAACTTCCAAAGCCTCCAACTAGGTAAATTGTGTGGATTTGCTTCATCTGTGGTGAATTTAATGCCTCAAACATATCTTTAATTAAACTTTTAAGTGAGTCATGGAAAATGGTATCTTCTGCAGCTTTTAATGGGATACGAATTTTGTCATCTTCATATTCGTAAAGCTCCATTCTACTTATTCCATTTATGATTGTTTGCTCTCCATAAAAATTTATCATTTTATGTGGTATATCTATACACATGACATCTGTATATTTTACGAGAGCTAATTTCTGTGATTCAAACTCATCATACAAGAATTTTTCACAGAGGATCCTCTTTTTTATAATATCTGCTTCATCATTAGTACTCCTACCTGCTTTATCTTTCCCATCGCCACTAGCTATAAACTTTTCGAACCCTTTATCATCAACGATATCTTGAAATATTGAAGAGAATTTTTCATTGATTTGTGTTCCTCCCAATGCGTTTCCAATGGGAACTGTGACAACTTCGACACCCCCTCCTCTTACTTCAACTTGAGTTGTTATATCTACGGTACCACCCCCAGCATCAATTATCATGTACCCCTTGCCTAATTTTGCTACTACCTCTTCAACCTCATCTTTACTTATTGCAGCTTTCTTGTATTTCTCTGCTTCCTTCTTACATGCAATTTGGCTGTATATTGCAGCACATTCTGGCTCAAGAGCAAGAAGTAGCTTTTCAGGATTTATTTCTTCGGGTGATGAAACTCCACATCCAATTTGTGTCAATGTTGTTATACCTTCACCATCTGTTAGAATTCCACTCTACAAATTATAATTATTACTTGAATTGAATGTGTGTATTTACATCTACTGTGCTAATCTTACCAAGAATGCAGCTTCTCTCATCATTCTTTTACTTTGAACATCCCATATTGCTGGTACAGTGATGACCCAATCGAAATCATTCTTCTTAAGTTTTACACTTCCTCTATCGAGAGATTTCTCTAATGTTTCTGCTAAGTGCTTCAATATGAATGCAATCACTTCAATGAGATAAAAGTGCTCGCCTGTATATGATGTCACATGTGCTTCTCTCTGTGCAAAGAATAAATCTAGATGCTAAATATATAGTTTCTATTTTATACCTTAATATCTCGCCTCAATAACATTTTAACTCGTTCAAAATAGATTAATCTTTCCCTTTCATCTGATGAGGCATTCATAAAAGCCTGTCTTGCTTCCTTTCCTATTTGTAAGACTTCAAATTTCGCATCATCTCCCTTTTTAAGCAAAATGGCATTTGGAATACGTTTATCATTACCAAAATCAAGAGATGTAGCCCACTCATCATCTCCTTTGGTTGAGTACGAAAGTGAGAGAGATGTAGTTCCAAAATCAATAGCTGCTGCATTTATTGGAAGACTTTTGATTATATCTTGACTGCTCTCATTTGTTCGTGATCGACTAAGTGGAGTACCCATTATACGGAGAAATCTCTGCTTGTAATAAGAAGTTGTTACTGGTTTATATATACATGTCTATGTAGGTCTACATAGATCTAGATCTACTATGTATAGTCTATATAAGGCCACAAAGGTGGGGCAAATTGTGCTTCTGTACACAATTCCAGGAATCACTGAAGACTATACTATATAGCTAGTATGAATGTGGTCAGATCATGAGGTGGTGTACTAGTAATCTTAATTCCTGGAAATGATAGGCTAGGTTATCATATCTGTGAATTAAATTACATAAAGGCCTCCATACACTAGGCAACATGTTGTTGGCAACTTTGTGGTTACTTTGATGTTGCCAGCAACATGTTGCCTAGTGTATGCCTGGCTTAAGATAGATCTACAGGTAAAATGATAAACTAACATCGCAATTATGTTATGACAAGACTTTTTAAAAGTAGCTAGCTTAAAGGTAGTCAATTACAGTTTTAACTTCTTTATTTGTAGATCTATACATTGCTCTTGCTTGAATTTCAGATCCAGAAAAGTTCATCATGACATCGATTTGGCGTTCTTTCCAGGATAACTTATCAGGATTAGGAGCTTCAATGATCAGTTTACCAACTGATTTGGCTTTTGGCTTGCCGTCGGGTGCTTTGACATATTTGATGCCATTTTCTTCTGTTGAGTAAATTTCTAATGTAACTTCTTCCGACCCATCAGGTGCACATAATTGTGTGACAAATTCCTCCCCATAACTGACTAGCTCCCCTTTTTGTAGAAAAACATCAAAGACATCTTTGCAGTAATATTCATCATTAGAATCGCCTTTGATTTTGTAAGCAGGATCGTGTTTCTTTGAATCAAATTTTTCTGTAATAGCAATTCCATAATTGGCATCTGCACATCGGGCTTTTATGAAAGCTGGATTTTTTCTGAGCATTACAGCTCCTGTTGCAATGGCGAGAGTGGGACTTGTGGGTACAATAACTTGGATTTTCAATGATTTCCGTTGTAATGCTTCTTTTACATGCTTCTCGACTAACTTTGAGCTCCCAAACCCTCCAACAAGATAAATTGTTTCAATATGATCCATTTTTGGTGATTTTAGTGCCTCAAACATGTGCTCAATTAGACTTTTAATTGATTCATCAAAAAGATTTTTTTCGGCGGCATCTTCTGTTATACGAATATTGTCATCTTCAAATTCAAATCCAATTGGAAAGTTTCCACCTTCAAGTTTTTCTTCTCCGTAAAATGTCATAATTGGTTTTGAAATACCAACTACCATTTCATTATGTGTGCCTTTTCCTAAGGATATCTTTTGTGATTCAAACTCTGTGTACACTAGTTTATCAATTGCAGCCCCAGCTTTGTCGCTCTGACTATAGAAACTGGAAAAGCCTTTATCATAGATACTAGCCTGAAATATTGAAGAGAATTTTTCATTGATTTGTGTTCCTCCCAATGCGTTTCCAATGGGAACTGTGACAACTTCGACACCTCCTCCTTTTACTTCAACTTGAGCTGTTATATCTACAGTACCACCTCCAGCATCAATTATCATGTACCCCTTGCCTAATTTTGCTACTACCTCTTCAACCTCATCTTTACTTGTTGCAGCATTTTTGTATTGCTCTGCTTCCTTCTTACTTGCTGCTTGACTGTATATTGCGGCACATTCTGGCTCAAGAGCAAGAGATAATTTCTCAGGGTTGACTTCCTCTGGTTTTTGTACACCTGTTGCAACTGGTGTCAGAGCTGTTAGACCCTCTTTCTCTGTCAGCATTCCACTCTACATATTAATAAAAATAAAACTTGATATATAGTTCAATTCTCTTACCAAAAAGGCAGCTTCTCTCATCATTCTTTTACTTTGAGCATCCCAAATAGCTGGTACAGTGATGACCCAATCAAAATTATTCTTTTTAAGAGGTAAAACAGTGCGGCTAAGATGTTCTTGTAACTCTTCTGATAAGTACTTGAGTATAAATGCTATCACCTCAAGGAGATAGAAAGGCTCACCAGTAAAAGATGTAACATGCACTTCCCTGTTAATTCCCTATGTATATGCATGTAATATGTAACTGATTAATTATTACTATAAACTTACCTTCTCACGTCTTAATAGCATTTTAATTCTTTCAAAGTAAATGTAATCTTTCCTCTCATGCACCTTTAATTTGAAAAACTTATCTCTTGCAACATCTCCAAGTACTACTTTCACGATGTTAATTTTGTTATCTTCTAGATCTCCACGTTGAAGTAAAATGGCATTTGGAATGCGGCTGATTTTATCAGGACCAAATGGGAGAGTTTTTGGCATGCCATCAACATCTCCTTTTGTAGAATAAGAGAGAGAGAGGGCTGTTGTTCCAAAGTCAATAGCTGCTATATTTGCAGGAATTTGTAATGGAGTACCTCTCCTAATTTTTCGCTGTGGACGACTGTAAGTATTCCCCATTAGAGCAAATGTGATGACAGACTAAATAACTTGCAGAATTTGAAATAATTTAGAAAGAGCTGAAAGGCTAGACAGATGTTTTGATTCATAGAGTTATGAGGTGGAGTCGATACATTATATACAGCATACATGTAGCTGTGTCATCACTGTCATGGTCTATGATTGCAGTTATCACATCAGCAGCATTTCTAAGAACTAGTCATTATAGTCTAGCCTATAGAGCTACTTGTACAAAATCATGAATATCATTATTATGTTCCTGGAAATTTGGAGACAGGTGTAAAAGCTATTGAGTTCCTGGAACTCATAGTTTATACTGTAAACTGATGATAGCAATCAAATATAATTATGAATATATTTAAGTATTATAATAAATTATTCTAGTCAGGCGCTGAGGTGATATAGATTTATAATCTATAGTTTAAGTTAGAGTCATATTATTAAATTTCAGGAAGAAGTTCCAATTTTGTTTCATTTAGTGTTCCTTTAGTCAAGAAGGATCGGTAATGAACCGGTTTTAACTTCTGTATCATATCCAGCACAAAATAAAATGCATCTTCATTTAAACTAGGATTCTAAAATGAAATTATAAAAGGAAAAATATTAGCTATAAATTTGTTTACTCTTTGCTTCATTTTCAATAGAAGTTCTTGATCATTGACTTCCGCAATCATTATCTTAAATGCACGATGCAAATCGGTTGTTTTTTCATCCAAATCTGCAATAGTCATGCTTTGACTTACTGCAATCTTCATTTCATCCTTCATTATTTTTATTAATGTTTTTCTTTTTTCGTCAAAGCAATCCTATTAGTGGAATTGTAGTCTATAATGAATTAGATGGTAAATAGATCTTTAACTTACTTGAAATATTTCACCACACATTTGCCAAACTTCAAATTTACTTTTACCTTCAAATTTTTTTGGCATATGCTGAAAAGCCATGTTAAAGTGGTGCTGGTAGAGTCGTATTACGTCTTCATGTGTTTTATCACCAGGTAAAATGTCACCATACAACTTCCGAGCATCATAAGAAGGGCTTGTATAACTGAGTGGAAAATAGAATCTAGAACTGCATGGGTCTTAATATATATATTACCTTTCTTGCTTCCCTATCATCTCCCTCATAACTCTAATTTTGCTATGATAAATTGTTATTAATAAAAATAATCATCTATATCTGGCATACTTTTCAAGGTTAGCAATGTCTCTATCAAGTTTTTCTTCTTCACTTAAATGGTCACTGTCATCATGTGCCATTGTTACTACTAGGTCCAGCTCACTAGATTTAATTATACTTGCATAATTTTTATAGTTTACTTACTAGCATTCATCTGTCCTCTCATTCATTCCTCTGCTTGCCATTCTTCTATAGTTCTCATTCAGTTTTTTTGACCACACCAGTCACCAGAGACCAGACCACACCAAATTTATGACCACACCCATGCACCCTTTGCACCATAAATTTTATAGACTACGTTACCTTTATTCAATGCTCATTTGAGCTGATAGAATGTTGTTTATCAAAAATATCAATAAAATTAATAACGTTTCAGTAGTCTATAATGTCTATAATATCTATGCTTACACATGTACACGTGTGTGCAAGATACAGTAGTGAGATCATGCGTAGTATCAATAATGGCAGCATGAATTATGTACTCTTGACTATACAAAATTTAATCAAGCTATTCTTGAACTAATAATTTGTTGTTCTACCAAACTATAATGGTTATGACAATGTTAGCTATCATTTGTCTTGTAGTAATACTGAACTGTTTCCTACCAGTCCCTTAAATGCAACATGGAACTGATTGCCATACACCAACACAGGACGATAATATATTAATGGCCCTTCTTTATTTTCATCCCAAGTCTTTCGAAAAGTATCTTGTATTTCATCATCTTGCCATTGTGGTTGCATGGGGAGTAGAGGAGGCAATAACGTTAGCATCATATGAAGAATGGAAAGACATTGATCCACATTCTCTTCAATGCCTTGATTGTCAATATAATTATACTTCTGTTCAATTTTTTTCAAAGCCTATTTGTTCAATAATTTACTTTACACACATCATAATAGTTCCAGGCATACCTTTTCTTTGGCTATTTCTGCTATGCTGGTATTTGTCTTGATCTCACAAGCACTAAGCAGTAGACCATATGCACCATAGTGAGTGTCATTTTTGCTTTCTTCATTGATACCTCCTTCAAGTAGGTTCCACAAGTTAATTTCAACCAGCTCAGTTAAGCTGTCAAGCATATCCTTGAACAATTCTTCATTTTCTTGACATTTCTTATTATTGAAAAATAAATTAATATTGAATAAAACCTAGCTTACTTCATCAGAATGCATGGTTCTATTACTTTTTAACAATAATTTGCTTCTTTTAAGTGAGAGCTCCCTCAAAACATGCTCTTGTGGTACACACCACTCTCCAAGAATTTTTTCATACTTTGATACCTCTTGAACTAACTCATTATACTTTCTATAAATAATAATTATATTTAGGTACATATTTTAATATTGGTTATTATGGTTTACCTTCTTTTTTGAGTAATTCTGCTCTCAAGATTGCTGAATGATGTATAATTAATAATATATTTAATAATAGAATCTGATCATAAGTATAATTATACTAAACTTGTTTTGTGTTAGGGTACATAGGCCTTTTAATCTAAAATTAATCAGAGAAATCATCATGCATGATAGATCTATTGCTTACTTTTGTCCCACAATGACAATAATCCAAACAATTGTACAACAGCCACAGCTAATAACTTCCAGCAATTTTTTTCCTAGATTACTTAGGCGACTATAGATTTCAAACCTATTAGGCATTATTGCTTGTAACCTCCTACACAACTTTAGTCAGATTCAACTGGCAAATACTGACATGTAATAGTAAGATACCTAAGAAGTTATATAAACCAATTCCAGGAAGCTCCATAAACAAATTCATGGACATTGCTGAGCTGTTAAATATGACATCATGAAAAGCATCATTATAACACTTAAAGTTTTATTATTAGTGTATATCTGTATATTTTCTTTTTCTTGTGTCTCCTGTGGCAATGAAGTGCAAATAATCATCTGGCTGAAGTGTAGTTAGGAGATCTTTGACAAATTCTGCTTCTTTCATGCCATGCTTACCACCAACCTATATATAGATCTATTTTATCAAACAACAATTAAATTCAAATATACCTTTTCTACCATCATTTGAAATTTTTCTTGTTTCAATTCTTGTACAAACATTTCAAATGCCCTCTGTAAATCATATGTCGCTTCATCCAGCTCCTCGTGTTCTTTAGATAACATATTTCTCAATTTTTCAAGCATTATTTTTACCAGCATATCCCTATTTTTATCATAGGATCTCTAGTGCATGCATATAATAATTATAATAACTGAAGACAACTACCTGCACAGTTTGAGCACATTCCTCCCATACTTCAAATTTCTCTTCATCTCTTCTTGTGCCACGTTTTTTGGGCATGCTATGGTGTGCACTTTTGAAGTGATTTTGATATGCTAATATCACATCTTGGTGGGTCGTGTCTCCCGGAATCATATCTCCATACATCTTGCGAGCATCACAAGATGAGCTTTTTAACCTGTATGCAAATTATGCTGCATTTAGTTCCATGCATCAATGATATAGATTTATTGCCTACCTGTCAACAAATAACTTTTTTTCAGCCAGAGCATCCATTGCTCTAATAATAATAAGATCAAAAAATTGTATAATTTATAAATTTTCACTTTATTAATGAATCTCTTTTGTTTTTTTCTTTTTCTTTTTCAGCAGTTAATGTTTTTTTCTTCTTTAAAATGTCACTGAATGACTCACTATTGCACCAATATAGCTTCAACTATATTACTTACCTTTTTAATTCTTCTATCTTACGATACTCTTCAAAAAGCTTCTCTTCAGCTGCAATTAATCGTTCAAAAGCAGTATCCCCATCCATGGCTAATTAGCTATAGCTGATTAAGTTTAGCTATTAGACCTGCAGATCTACCATCTAGCATGCATATGGGGGCAGAGTAGGTGCCCCCTATAATTTTTTGATGTAAACGGAAGTGATGGCACATGCATAAAGCTTTAATTCATGGGAAATTTGACACTATGAATATCACTAATGGGCAACATCTATCAAAACATTTCTTAGAATTGTAACTCTAACCAATTAATTCAATTTTATTTGGAATTTCTAGGAAATCATGCATAAGCCTCATTTCCAGGAACTGTTTGTCATTGGTTGACTCTGCCAGGGTTTACAATTCTTGGAAGTATGTATATAGTCTAGTCTAGTCAGCAGTGCATGACGGCTTGTAAAAGAATTTACATGAATATAATATATGCACTAGCTAGCCCATAGGCTGTTTTTTATCTAGTTGCAAACACTAGGAATTAACCCATGACTATAATGGAACCATCTAATGAGACAGTTTTTGTCAACCTTTTTCACAGAACTGCAAAAGGCTTGTGAGTTAAAACAAGAATTATCTACTCTTAATTTGTTTATAACTACTGCACTCCATATGATGTTCATCCTTTATCATTTCTTATTGTGCTCAGAATAAATTTTATGACTGAAAAAAAAAATGTGTTTGAAGTTTTGAAAGAAGAAGCAAGGCTAGTATTTTGAATTTATAGAGCTAACTTGCTTGATAATTTATTTATAGAAGAACACAGAAAGACATCACAGAGAAAACAGAGTAGATTTATACTAGATTATTATTATGTTTAGATCTGATTTGTTGGTTATTTTAACAGGGAAGTAGCAAAGTTAAATGATGATCATGAACAAGAGCTAAAGTATGCACCTCAAGCATCACTTCCTTTTATTATCATTTACTTTTATTTCAGAGCAATGAGAGAAGAATATCAGAGACTTGAAAAAGAAAAAAGAAAACTTGAAAAGAGGTAAAAAGTAAAGAACATAACCATTATTCTTGTCACCCCGATAGCCTGGTAATACATCGATATAGTAATGATGATATTGTCGGACTAAAAGAAAAAAGGGATAAATTGGTACAGACATTTGATTCTGCAAATTGTGAAAGACAAAATGAAGTAAGATATAATAGTTACATTGTACATTAGTCTCGTGGAGCCAAATATGAAAAAGGGAAGGTGTTGTGGGGAGTCTGGCCTGGCTGGTCATGCAAAACTCTTGTAGCTACATGTTTTAGTTTTTCATTCATGAATGTCTTAAAACATTTATGCTGAATTTAATATCACAAATATTTGTATCCATTTTGTTGATACACAGAAATGTATAATCTTGAGCATTGCTATTATAAAAATACTGTTTTGCCAAATTCTGAAACTATAAGCATTGTGCCATTACATTGATTATATTCTAGTTACAAGACAAGTGTTCTTTATGTAAGTGCTTTTTTTGTAGCCATTGCGGAAAGTATATGATGAAATGATAGATGAAATTATGTTGGAGTTTGAAGCCCATTTAGTATCTTTGCTAAAGGTTAATGAAACTTCCAAAATTCCAGATACTCCTAAAGACTTGGATACAAAAGAAAAGTATAAAATTTATGGTCTTCTAATTAGTGCGTGTAAAGTTAAGACAATGGATCATCTTGAAGCAGTCAGTTTAAGCATTTGTATATTTTTATCTAAGTTTTTTAGCAGTATGAAGCTGATAATAACCAACCCCAGGATGAGCAAAATGGTGCTGAAGTTAAAGAATCTGCTCATAATTGCAGTAAAATAGTAGGTCTATATTAATTGTCAATAATTATTAGATTTATTGTTTTAGGAGAAAACTCCAAGTAAAGGCATAATTTATGGTTATGCTCAAGATCAAGAGGATTATAAGGCAGCATCAATGCACCTTACCTTTCAAATGTTGAAACTTTTACCACCTCTAGTAGTTTGTCAACCGCCACGTTACAATGAAGACCTTCATGATGCTAACAGGGTTACATGGGAGACAGAACAAGAAGAAGCTGAATTACATTATTATCGTCCTGTCGTAGTTTATAGTAATCACTTTCATGTTGCTGTTAAAGGACTAGTTGGTAACATGGAGCTTCATAATGGAACAATTGATTGCCCTTATTGAGAATGAAAATTAGCAGTGGAAAAGACACAGAGCTTAAATTAGATACTGCACGCAAAATTACAAATGAACATACAATTGATTTTTTTAAATGAGCTGAAAATTCATCAATAAAATTAAGGAGACTTGAAGGCATTAGATTTAGCTAATATTATCTGTTTTGATGTATTCTGCACCAATTAGTATGATTGGTTAAAATTTTATTAAAAGAGTTTAGGGTTTAGAGGGCTGGTGGCCAAGTTGAGTCAGTATTGTATTTGTTGTAATTTTAAGTTTTTAATATACATATACTTGAACATGTATATTTATATGTAAATTTAATCTACGTATAAATATACAAATTCAAGTGCATTAAAACTTAAATTTTGTAGTCTCACATATAAAAATTAAGCAAACGATCTAAATCTAAGTAAAATCAATATTATTAGAATTTGATTTACTTTGATGCCAGTCAGGGCTGCATCAAAATAGATATCAGGCTTGAATCATTGATTTTGGGTAGTGGCCTGTATCAGAGATGATAATTCTTGGCTGTGTAGACTATGTAACAGGGTGTAGTCAATGATTTCATTAACATTCGATAGTTAACTAAACATTCAAGGGGTCTGACACATTGATGGGATATCTGGATTCCTAAATTCAGTTGGCTGAATGCTTGTATGACTCCAGATACTGTCTAAAATTTTTAAAATCCTGCATTCCAAGTGTTGGATTCCACTAAATTCTATTTAGATTCCAAGGATAGTGTATTACTGGATTCCGGAGTGTGTCGGACCCCTCTTTAACATTAATTTTTATTTAATGCATTGTAGTCATTTATAATTGTGCTAGACTACGTGCTCATGCATTTAATGCTAACAATGTAAGTATATTGTTCAGTTGTTAACAAGGCTCGATTGCCCAGTTGACATTTGTATTTCTTTTATTCTCTTTCCTTTGATTGCTGGGTACTGGGTAGGTAAACAGTTCAAGTGGTAGGCAATTGGAATCAGTTCAAACTTTCTGCTCAACATAAGTACATGTATAATAAATCGGAAAACTTTATAGACTTTCTGAGTCATGTTATTGCTCCATCAGCCAACCACACCTTTAAGTTGACACATCAGCTAAAAAATAATAGCTATGCTGAGACTTGAAATAATATAAACAATGCAATAATCCTTATAGTTTAGTAATGTAGGGCTAATAACAGTATAATCTTCCACACACAGTAATAGCGGAGCAAACATTGAGAATGTATACTGACTAAGATTAATTGCAAGGTAGATGTATATGGGCAGGCCAACTTGAAGTCATGGGGCAAAATCTCCTCTTAAAATACCTTATTACTTCAAGAACAAGTGTATCTGTATAATGCTTTGCATGAGCACTATAGGCAGTTAGATGTATGATCTCATTAAATTAACTATTTTAAATAAAAATAAAATATAGAAATCAGCCATAGAAGAATTGACATGCATGCATAGTAAACAAAAATAATTATTTTGTGCTTGCAGTGGCAATTCTATCAGTTAGCTTATCAGTTAGTACCATTAATGATTGAATGTGTACCACTAGTGTCTTTCTCTTTCCTCTCACAAGAGTTTCTGTGGCAGAAGGTACCTACAAATACACATATAAGGGGTATTACTGTAATGATAATAATAAAGGGGGTAATAACAAAATGAATATAATACCTATGAGGGTAGGTTACTGTAAATACTTACTATAGTGTCTAGTTCCTCTAGATTCTTCATTAAATTCTCATTGCATGACAAACTTTGTTTACGTAACTTATCACAAGATTCAGAGACTAGTTCTGACAACAGGAAACCCTGGAAATAACAAAGATTATAATTAAAAGGGAACATTAATAGACTCATTGAACAAATCATATGACTAACTGATATACAACAATAGTCCAATCATTAATTTCAGATGTGAAGTAATAGTAATAATTAATGGTAATAGTAGAGAATACATGATGGTAATTCAAAACAATAATTTTGTCCATGAAATTTTTGTAACTTAAACTAAGTTCAAGAAGGAGCTTATGTACATGTACAGTACTTAAATTCTAAGGTATTTTGCAATAATCATTATTGTACATGTAGTAAGACACACATGTGTATGACTGTATGTAGATGTACATGTACATGTATAGAATTCATTTACTGCACAATGAAAAGTACCTTTTCAATTCCCTCCAGCTCTTGTTCAATCTTCTTAATCTTTCTCTCAATAGTATTTGTTGATTCTGAAATATCGTCAAGCTTCTTAAGACACTCGTCTTGAGCTGGATCAGTCTATCCAATAATAAAATTAGAAAAAGATGTAAGACATATTAAGGAGTGAGCCTAAAGCACTTGCAGTTAGCATTATAGCAAAGTCAGTGTGGATGCAATGCCTTTACCAGAACTTTTAATTAATGCATAATGTACATGTAGATTAACTTAAAAACTTGTGATCAGGAAAAAATGCAATTAAAACCCTCATATATTTGTAAATAAAAAGTATTGTTACAGCGTTATTTAAGTTTAGGCTACAAAATACAGACATATAGATGTACATGTACGTACCTTTCTTCCCAATAGCATTATTTTGCTATTATTCTTTATTCCTGCTTCGCTGACTAACTCATCTTCTTTCCTA